ACACGTGTGGGGAGGGGGGGACACGTGGGGCAGGGACACGCGTGACGGGCCCCACGCGTGTATTGGAGGCCACAGGCCCCACACGTATGTTCTGGGCCCTTAAACACACGTAGACCAGGCCCCACACGCATGTCATGGGCTTAACGTGTGCGTTACATGCTTTGGACACGCCTGTTTGGGGGGCTCAGGCACGTGTGTCACAGGCCCCACACGCATGTCACGGGTGAAACATGTATGTTCCTGGTGTCGGTCACGTGTGTCACAGGCTTTGCACGCCTGTCATGGACCCCACACGTATGTTCCAGGCCTCAGACACGCGTGTAGTGGGTCTCGGAGATGTGTCATGGGCCCCACAGGTGTGTTGGCTGCCTCGGACACGTGTGACATGGACCCCACCTACATGTTAGGCCCGTGACATATATGTTCCATGCCTTGGACACACGTGTTATGGGGCTTGGACACGTCACAGGCCCCACACATATGTTCCAGGCCTCAGTCACACGTGTCACGGGCTCTACACGCCTTTCATGGCGTGAGACATGTGTGAGGCCCGTGACACACGTGTGGGGCCTGTGTCACACATGACCCAGGCATGGAACATACACGTTAAGCCCATGACACATGTGTGGGGCCCACGACACGCGTGTAGAGCCTGTGACAGATGTGACTGACACCAGGAACATACATGATAAGCCGATGACACGCGTGTGGGGCCTGTGACACACATCTCCAAGGCATGGAACATACATGTAGGACCTGTGACATGTGTCTGAGCCCCGCAACACACGTGTCCAAGGCATGGAACATATATGTCACGGGCCTGACATGTAGGTGGGCTCCATGTCATACGTGGCCGAGGCCTCCAACACGCGTGTGGGGCCCATGACGTGTCTGAGACCCCCAAAAATCATGACCCAGGCCTGGAACATACGTGTGGAAGCCAGGACACCTCCGTGAGGCGTGTCAAACACGTGCTTAAGGCCTGGAACATACATGTGGGGCCTGGGACAAGCATGTGGGGCTTCTGGCACAGGTGACGGAGGCCTGCCACATACATGTCCATGGCATGATGGGCGTGTGTGACCCACGACACACGTATCTGAGGCCTGGAACATACGTGTAGGGCCTGGGACAAGCGTGTGGGGCTTCTGGCACGAGTGCTGGAGCTCTGACACATACATGTCCATGGCATGATGGGCGTGTGTGACCCACGACACACGTATCTGAGGCCTGGAACATACGTGTAGGGCCTGGGACAAGCGTGTGGGGCTTCTGGCACGAGTGCTGGAGCTCTGACACATACATGTCCATGGCATGATGGGCGTGTGTGACCCACGACACACGTATCTGAGGCCTGGAACATACGTGTAGGGCCTGGGACAAGCGTGTGGGGCTTCTGGCACGAGTGCTGGAGCTCTGACACATACATGTCCATGGCATGATGGGCGTGTGTGACCCACGACACACGTATCTGAGGCCTGGAACATACGTGTGGGGCCTGGAACAAGCGTGTGGGGCTTCTGGCACGAGTGATGGAGGCCTGACACATACATGTCCATGGCATGACGGGCGTGTGTGACCCATGCCACACGTCTCCACAGCCAGGAACATACATGTGGGGCCTGGGATCTCCCTCCACTTCAGCGAGGCCTTAACGACGTCCTCGTTAAGAAATTAAGCAATTAGGGGCTGGATGAGGGGGCAGGGAGGGGGGATGGGTCCTGGTTGTGGGGCAGAGCTCAGAGGGTTGTCACGGACGGAGCGGGGTCACGTTGGAGACCTGGAGCCGGTGGTGTCCCCCCAAGGGGTCAACCCTTGGTCCAGGCTTGGTCAACGTCTTCATCGCTGACCCGGTGACCCATGACACACGTCTCCACAGCCTGGAACATACATGTAGGGCATGACGAGCGTGTGTGATCCATGACACACGTATCTGAGGCCTGGAACATACGTGTGGGGCCTGGAACAAGCATGTGGGGCTTCTGGCACAAGTGACGGAGGCCTGCCACATACATGTCCATGGCATGTGTGACCCATGACACACGTATCTGAGGCCTGGAACATACGTGTAGGGCCTGGGACAAGCGTGTGGGGCTTCTGGCACGAGTGATGGAGGCCTGCCACATACATGTCCATGGCATGACGGGCGTGTGTGACCCACGCCACACGTCTCCACAGCCAGGAACATACATGTGGGGCCTGGGATCTCCCCCCACTTCAGCGAGGCCTTAACGACGTCCTCGTTAAGAAATTAAGCAATTAGGGGCTGGATGAGGGGGCAGGGAGGGGGGATGGGTCCTGGTTGTGGGGCAGAGCTCAGAGGGTTGTCACGGACGGAGCGGGGTCACGTTGGAGACCTGGAGCCGGTGTGACCCACGCCACACGTCTCCACAGCCAGGAACATACATGTGGGGCCTGGGATCTCCCTCCACTTCAGCGAGGCCTTAACGACGTCCTCGTTAAGAAATTAAGCAATTAGGGGCTGGATGAGGGGGCAGGGAGGGGGGATGGGTCCTGGTTGTGGGGCAGAGCTCAGAGGGTTGTCACGGACGGAGCGGGGTCACGTTGGAGACCTGGAGCCGGTGGTGTCCCCCCAAGGGGTCAACCCTTGGTCCAGGCTTGGTCAACGTCTTCATCGCTGACCCGGAGGAGGGACGGAGCGTGTCCTCGGCCAGTTGGGTGATGGTGCCAAACTGGGAGGACTGGGTGACCCTCCAGAGGGCTGGGCCACCAGCCAGGGGGACCTGGGCGGAGAAGAACCTCCTGAGGTTCACCAAGAGTGGAGGGTCCTGCACCTGGGGAGGAAGAACCTCCGGTGGTGTCCCCCCAAGGGGTCAACCCTTGGTCCAGGCTTGGTCAACGTCTTCATCGATGACCCGGAGGAGGGACAGAGCGTGTCCTCAGCCAGTTGGGTGCTGGTGCCAAACTGGGAGGACTGGGTGACCCTCCAGAGGGCTGGGCCACCAGCCAGGGGGACCTGGGCGGAGAAGAACCTCATGAGGTTCACCAAGAGTGGAGGGTCCTGCACCTGGGGAGGAAGAACCTCAGGCACCAGGAGAGGTTGGGGGTGGATCTACTGGGAAACACTTCTGAGGAGAAGGATCTGGGGGTCCTGGTGGAGAGTGACCTCCCCAGGAGCCACCAATGGGACCTTGTCACCAAGAAGGTCAATGGGATCCTGGGGGCATGAGGAAGAGCGTGGGCAGGAGGTGGAGGAAGGTCCTTCTCCCCCCTCTGCTCTGCCCTGGGGAGGCCACCACTGGAGCACTGGGACCAGTTCTGGGCTCCCCAGTTCAAGAGAGACCATCAGCAGGTTCATGGAGGACACCAAGGTGTGTGGTGGTGGTGTCCATCCAGCAGAGGGACGGGAGGGCACCCAGAGGGACCTGGAGAGGTGGGTCCCCAGGAAAGGGACTTGGGGGTGCTGGTGGAGGAGAAGCTGGACAGGAGCAGGCACTTCCAGCCCAGAAGGTCCATCCCATCCTGGGCTGCATTGCCAGAAGGTCCAGAGAGGTGGTTCTTCTGCTTTGAGACCTCACCTGGAGTCTTGTGTGCAGGTCTGGAGCCCTCAATAGAAGAAGGACATGGACCTGATGGAGAGGGTCCAGAGGATGATGAGGGGGATGGAGCACCTCTGCTCCGAGGACAGGCTGAGGGAGCTGGGGTTGTTCAGCCTGGAGAAGAGGCGGCTCCAAGATCTGAAGGTGGCCTACAGGAAGGTTGGGAGAACCTGTTTAGAAAGGCCTGCAGTGACAGGACGAGGGGAAACGGCTTCAAACTGGAGGGGAACTGGTTTAGACTGGAGATGAGGAGAGGGTTCTTCACTGTGAGGGTGGTGGAGCACTGGAACAGGATGCCCAGGGAGGTGGTTGAGGCCCCATCCCTGGAGATATTCAAGGAGAGGCTCGACGAGGCCCTGGGCAACCTGGTCTAGTTGGGGGTGTCCCTGCTGACTGCGGGGAGGTGGGATGAGATGACCTTGACCCCAACCTCTTGGTGGCCCCCCAATTCGTAAGTTAGAAGAAAAGGGGGGAAAGAGGCCCTGGGCAACCTGGTCTAGTTGGGGGTGTCCCTGCTGACTGTGGGGAGGTGGGATGAGATGACCTTGACCCCAACCTCTTGGTGGCCCCCCAATTCGTAAGTTAGAAGAAAAGGGGGGAAATGAAACCGCTCCAAAGGAAGCAGTCTTGGAGAAAGAAGGAGTTAAAATGTCAGCTGGGGTCCTTCTTGGAATCCCCTCTCTCCCAACAAGGGCGACAACACTCTTTTGCTGCTTCAAGACATCATGGTGCTGGGCTCAGGCCTACTCCCTGCAACGGGAGTTGCAGGCCCCGTTTGTGCTCAGTCAGGCCACATTTGGTGGATCTTACCAAATCACGAAGGTAATAAATTGTCTGAGAGAACAGAACGAGTTGATAGGAAGGAACACCAGAACATGAAGTGGTGGCTTCAGCAATTTTAGGATGAAGCAAGGTCACTCCCACCTTGGCGGCCTGGAGAGTTCCCCAACGCGTTGCTAATCAATACCTCCTGCTTATGGACTTGAAAACTGAGTCTCTGAGCGGTTTCTATTTCGCCTTTTGGGGCAAATTCGGCATCAGGTTCTTGCCAGAAACAGAAACTACATCCATCCAATCCCGCTTCTCCCAAGCCCATGGTCACACAAGGACAAACAGAACAGTTAAAGATATTAACACGAATCAGGTGAACACATTTCACATGGGTGTAAAAAGCCTCTTGAAACAACTGCTGTTCCAGTGGGGTCCAAGTATCCAAGCCTTTGGATAAACAGCCACAGGCAAATTGTTAGAAGGGGCATCTCCCTGCCTCAAAAAGCCCCAGAAATGGATTAAACACCTTGGCGGCCTGGAGAGTTCCCCAACGCGTTGCTAATCAATACCTCCTGCTTATGGACTTGAAAACTGAGTCTCTGAGCAAGAAAACAGACTGGAAACCAGAAAAGGCCCAGAAAAAAAAGTTGGATATTCCAATTCCCTCACCTCGAGGGCTGGGTTCAGTTCTGGGCCCCTCACTACAGGAAGGACATTGAGGTGCTGGAGCGTGTCCAGAGGAGCCACCAAGGTGGGGAGGGGTCTGGAGAACAAGTCCTACGAGGAGAGGCTGAGGGAACTGGGCATGTTGAGTTTGGAGAAGAGGAGGCTGAGGGGAGACCTCCTTGCCCTCTACAGCTCCCTGAAAGGAGGGTGGAGAGAGGCGGGTGTTGGCCTCTTCTCCCAAAGGACGAACGACAAGACCAGAGGAAATGGTCTGAAGTTGGGGCAGGGGAGGTTTGGATGAGATATTATATTAGATATATATATATTAGATATATTGGTAAAAATGTGAAGTTTCAGCAGAGGCGTTTTTGACTTCATTTAGTGGTTTGGGGGCTCATTTTGGGCCAGTTTAGCCTGAATCTGGGGCATTTTAGTCTCGTTTTCAGGCAAATTTGGGTTATTTTAGGGCATTTTGGGTTCATTTAGTGGTTTGGGGGCTCATTTTGGGACATTTTGGGCTCATTTGGGGGAGTTTTGGGCCATTCTAATTCGATTTTGGGACATTTTACTCTGATTTTGAGGCATTTTCATCTTGTTTTGAGCCAATTTGGGCTCATTGGGGGCATTTTAGTCTTCTTTTGGGATCATTTGGGGACATTTGCAGGGCTTCAGGCTCATTTTGGGGAGTTTTGAGGCTTTTGGGGTCCCTCTGGACGTCTGGTAGGGCCCTGTGGGCTCTTGGGTTCCCCTTTAGGGCTTGTGACTTCCACCTGGGTGTTCTTTTGGGGTCCTCTATAGCCCCCCCCCCACCCCTCCATGGGGTGACCTCGCAAGTGTCCCCAACCCCATGATGATGACATCAGTGATGATCAAGATGACACCAATGATGATCGTGATGATGATGTCATTGATGATGTCGCAGGGGGGAGGGGTGGGGCCCTATAGTGTCTCTGGGGATCCCCTATAGCCCCTCCCCCCCATCCCTCTCCTGTGGGATGACCTCAAAGGACCCCCCCCCAGAGGATGCCGATGACACCCGTGATGCCCACGATGACGCTGCCAATGAGGTTACGGGGGCGTGGCTATGGGCAGGGGGGAGGGAGGGGTCCCAGGAAGGCCACGCCCCTGGCATGGGGGTCCAGCCAATTAGCATGGGTGCTGACATGGTTGTAGACCCCCTGGGTGGTTGGGGACCACGCAGCCCTCCCCCCAGCTGACGATCTTGGTGGGACCTTGGGTGGGGCTGGAGGATCTTGGGTGAGATTGGAGGACCTTGAACCTGCCTTGAAACTCCCCCAAATGGGCCCAAAATGTCCCCAAATAACCCAGATTGGAGGACCTTGAACCTGCCTTGAAACTCCCCCAAATGGGCCCAAAATGTCCCCAAATAACCCCAAAATAAGACTAAAATGCCCCCAGATGAGCCCAAATTGTCCCCAAATAACCCCAAACGGGCTTAGAAATGGGCTAAAATGCCCCAAAATTCTACTAAAATGCCCCAAAATTCGACTAAAATGCCCCAAAATCCGACTAAAATGCCCCCAATCAGCCCCAGACGTGGAGAGGCGGCTTCAGGTACCATAGAGACGCGAGGAAGGGGGACCAGAGCGCCCGC